ATAGAATAATTCTCGTCTCCTCCTCCCTCCTCGCCAGCCTAAGCTGTTCTAAACGTTAACGCCTTTCTCTGCTCATGCATTTAAACTTCGCAATGTGCATTATTCCCCAAGGCCGCCCTTTCATCTCGCATCTCCTCTCACTTGCAGCATCGGTTCACGCGCTCAAGGACCTCATTTCCATATCTCATGTGTGCCGCGACGAACTTAGGTTATGGATAATGTTCCTTAAACAATGGAACGGCCTTTCTGTTTTCTATAACAACCTCGTTTCGTCTCCCGTCGACATCCAACTGTTTACAGACGCAGCTCCCTCAATCGGCTTCAGAGGTTTTTACCAAGGATGTTGGTTCGCGTCCCCATGCCCCATCCCCCCCGCTGCAAGGCACTCCACAGTCCTCAGCTTTTTTCGAGCTTTACCCCCTCGTGGTAGCAGCCTTCCTGTGGGGAAAAGAATGAGCTTCTAAAAGCATCTTAGTGCATTGCGACAACAAAGCAACCGTGCAGTGCATTACTAAAGGCCGTTCTCATTCTCCCGCCCTCATGCCTCTTCTAAGACGCTTAATATGGATCTCAGCGTGCGACCAATTATAATATTATTATTATAATAATTGCTAAACACATTCCCGGTTCAGAAAACCAAATCGCTGACTCTCTGTCTCGCTTTCTGTTTCAGAAATTCAGGACGCTGGCTCCAAAGGCAGAGCCTTTCCCAACTCCAGTACCTCACTATTCAGAATTAATATTCCCGTAACTCACCCATTAAGACCCCTACTCGACGCATCGCTCGACACTATTCTCCAAGCAGTTTCTCCCAGAACCCTTCAGTCGTTTACGACAGCGTGGAGATGCTTTAAGGCATTCCACCTTTCATATAACACATGGTTCCCCGATTTTTCACTACTTTCAATCACTTCGTTCATCTCCTTCCTTAAAGCGTTAAGGGTCTCCAAGTCGGGTCCATCAAAGGCTACCTGAGCAGCGTCCAATTTTTCCACAAGCTGATGCACGGTGCTCCCTCTCCTGAAATAAACAATTTACAAACCTCCCTCCTAATCAAGCGAATCTAACGATCCCAGCCCACCCGTCCTGATGCCAGACAACCCCTAACGTTAGACATTCTCACAAATGTATCCACACCCTCCGTACAGGTTACCAGCCTTTCAGTACTGCCTGCACACTCGACGCTATGTTCATTCTAGCCTTTTTTAGGTTCCTTAGATGCTCGGAACTCACCATCTCTTCCAAATTCGATCCAAAAGTCAACCCCACCATCTCAGATTTAACCGTACTCGATAGCGAAACAATTTCTTTCTTAATCAAACAAAGCAAGACAGACCAAGCTAAAAAAGGCCATTTCATTTACATTTTCAACCTCTCTTCTCCAATCCAACCATACCAGTCCATCTTTGAGTACCTCCCTCTTATAAATTCTCAGGCTAAATCCCCCCACGAAGCTCTATTTTTAGATGACTCCAAAAAACCCTTCACCTGCTTTTGGTTTCAAAAATATCTCCGTCCTGCAACATCCCAGCAAAAAATTTCTCTAGCCACTCTTTTCGCATCGGTGCACCAATGACAGCAGCCCAAAAAGGCCTCTCCAAGCAGCAGATCCAAGCTCTGAAAGATGGTCTTCAGAAGCTTTCCAAAGCTACATCAGAACTAACCAGTTTCACATCAAAGAAGCCTCATTGGTCAATAAATATTTTAATGCAATCACTACCGCAGTAGTATTCCATATCCACATCTTAAATCCATGCCTAAATTTCATCTGACTGCCGGCGAGGCTTACCCGTCTGATGCCATGTGTATTGATCTCCCGTCAGATGCTGCAAAAGCCTCCAGGCCCGGCAATCTTACCTTTCCATCCTACAGTCTTTCCATCCTACGGTCGGCGATGCTTACCCATCCGATGCCGTGAGTATTAATCTCCAGTCAGATGCCGCGAGAGCCTCCCAGCCAGGCCAACATTTTTTTACCTTGCCAAGCCGATAGGACCCACTCGTCCGAAGGCCTGAATCTTGATCTCCAATCGGAAGCTTCCTGGGCCCTCTCGGTCAGTCACTCGCCCCCTGTCTATCGATCAGCAGGGGCTTGCCGGCATGTAGAGCCCGTCCACCGACGCCACAAAATGCTCCCGGCAAAGGCAACTCAGGCCCTCCTGGTCAGGCTACAATCACGCTGCCCCTCCTTCACCTGCCGGTAAGGCTCACCCATTAAATTAAAAAGTAATGCATTACTGTACTAGCTACTGTACTAGAAAAAAGTAATCTGATTACATAATGTGTTACTTGTAATGCGTTACCCCCAACACTGCTGAGAACAACTGTTGTCATATCATTGGCATTATTTTTCAATGGTATTTATTAATTACACAGTTTAATCATTTACTTAACATGAAACTGTAACCTTTCATTCTGTTCTGTGTGATTTCTGCTGCCAACTCATTTCTAAGGATTGCATTAGTTCAAACAAAACTTTAAATGTAAAAAAAAAAATAAAAATCTGCATATTTGTTTCCAGGCCGAACGTTAATGAACACGACACACACGGCCGAACTTTAATGAACACGACACACACGCCTCCCAGAAATCTTGTATAATTCAACCAATCAGATGACGACTTCGAAACTCCTGAAGTGTTTCCAATTTTGTGTGCCGTATACATCAGACGTTCAGCCAACAGTCCATGGGTGTGAAGTCTGAGGCTGAGACTAAGCCTTCATTCAGCAATCTTCATCTCCATCCTCAGCAGCAACCATAAGCGTCAAAACCCACAGGCTTAAAAAACGACCTGCATTAACAGTGTAAAAGTAGGTGAATTCTGCAACTTGGCAACACTGGCTATAGGGTTGTCAGTGTTGTGATTGACTACACAATTTCAACACGTTGTTTGTATAGTATTTGCATATTAAATTAAAGTATCATACATTTGTTCTTTCTTTAGTTAAAATTAATGTACGACTAATTTCATTGCAGTGGTTAACATTTTATCTACTTTGTGTGTGTTTTATGTGCTTTATATTTAGCTGCTATGCTTTCTCAATTATGACATTATGTGCTGTGGTCAATTATATGAGTGAACGAGTTGATGTGTGCAGTCAGTAATGATGTCATTTCCAAGCATGTCTTTTTCCTCCATGTATGCTGCAAATCAATTTCCCTGCTGAGAGAGGGATTAAAATAATATGACACAAATACATAGGGTTCAAATTACACCCTGTAAATCAGACTTGGTGGGTGATTTGAGAGGGATATGCTAATCTCCAGCAGGATGGCAAAAGCTGTGCTAGTGCTGTTTCTCATCTGTAACTCCTACTCATCTGAAGCAGCAAAGAAGTGTCAGCCAGCTAATACAAACACCCTTGAATTCTTCTAGCCGGTGTGCCCAGATGAGCGTATGTCAGCTGACAGAGCTGTGAACCTTTGTGCTTTGTCTGTCTGGATCACTGTTGGCAGGTTTTACTTTGAGGCCGGAGTGTGTAGTTTCTCTTGAACCCAGCTGACCCGCACACACTGGCCGGCAATGACCTACTGAATGTACATTATCCTGCTCATTACATGGCTGCTTATAAAATGAATAAATGGCCATGAAATATTTCATTAACAGTCAGTTATTTTATCATGCTTGAACCAGTGACCCACTCATAGTGTAAAGGAGGCATTGTTTTTTGAACTGTATCTCATATACTGAAGCTGCCTTGCTGTTGGAGAGTCAGTACTTCAGAAAAGTGAATGTACCTGCACACACTATCTAATATATTGAACTGCTGTTGTATGGAAAAGAGTTGTGAGAAAAAAATAAAATAAAATAAAACATATAGGTTCGAAGTGATGTGAGGGTCAGTACATTTTTATTTTTAATTTAATTTTTTTACATGTACTGGTTCATTTTGTTGTTCATTTTAAAGTGGACAGAGCTGAGCTGCCGTGCTGTTTCTTATAGGCCTTGTTGACTGTGAGTGTGCCTGGAATACAAAGTGGCTTTCTGATGCTAATATGTCAATTTAATGCAAATAGCACAGTGCATCAGGAGCAAAGTAACAACAAATTTGTAAATTGTGGCATTTTATGTTGTTCCAGACTGTGCACGCAAAAGGTTTCGTAATGTAACACAGTGTCCGAGTTGGTTTGTTGTTTCTGCTTCTTCTGATTGTGAACATTACAGTTTTATTACCACCAAGTGCACAAGCAACATCAGGCCATCGCTGGTCAATGGACAATGATATGGACAATGACGTGCAGACATGCTGCATTTATTAAGTCAACAGGCGTATAAAAACAGACTGAGAGACAAAAATAAAATACATAATTAAAATATTATCCTGTGTAATCCACTTTTCCACTTGGTTAATGTATATGCAAGAAGATAATGGCACGCAACGGCATTTAACTTAAAACTTTATTGGCACACCCCTTGCTAAATTACCAGCACAGGTGGAGACTGAACCAAATTAGTGCAATTTCTTCATGACAGTGAATAAATTTATACTGATTACTGGCTGAGGGGACTGAGTGATTTCAGATTGCTTTTCTAACTCAGTTGGAATCACATACTGACAGGGACTCAGAGCTTTAAGCTCAAGGTACAACAGCAAATGGTCATTGTGATGGTACAAGTTCAGTGTCACATGGAAATGTCTTTGCGGCACACTGCTGAATATGTATTGGCTGTATGTTGGTTGTACTTGAGAAGAGTGGTGCATTCATTGCACAGATGGTCTCCATGAGTTTCAAAGCTTCCTGTCTCAAGTACATTCACACTTGTCAGAAAACACTGTGGCAGCCATGAAATCAGTCAGGCACTCTGCGGTCGGCTTTTATTTATGCATTGCTCTACAGTCCTTTCAAATAAACTCAATGGCTAGAGACAGATGGGCAGAGTTTTCATATTGGTCACTTAGGAGAGCTGGAGGAGTACAAATACATCCTAGTCAGGCATATAAGAGCACTGTTGTAATGTTCTCTCAATTCAGAGAGAATTTCTTACTTGGCGTGGCTTAGATTCTAACTGCCATCTTATTCTACAGGATCTGGTGTCATATTTGAGGGGCTGAAACTCCCTGGTAGGAATGATAAAGATTTCAGTTCTCTGGTCTCCTGGAAAACAATCTGAAAACTCCCCAGTAGAGTCCATCAGTGAGACACAAATTACTGACTGAACTGAATTCTTTACATCTGATGTAAACACAAATTAGTTCAAACATACCTTTATCTTTCTTCAGCTAATTCACATGTAAATCTCTTTTAATGGAAGAATTTGGATGGTGCGATTTTCTGTAAGTGAGCTAAAATTGTAGTTGGAAGACCTGCAGACCATTCGTTAAAATTGTACAAGCTGTACTTGAAACAAAAAGGAAGAGCAGACATGTCAATTCTTAACAAAACATCCAATAACAACAATAAAAAAATTATATAAACAAAGAAACGTGTCAGGGCTGGGCAGGACCTTCAGCATAGATAGACCATCAAACTCAACGCTGGAAGCGATCGCCCAAACAACACTCCACACACACGAACGGTTCCAGCGACATTTAACTTTGC